GTGTTCCCCCCCCCCCCCGCCGGGGGGGGGGGGGGGAGTGAGCGAGTGGCTGCGTGGCGCTTAGTTGCCAGCCGGGTTAAACCACGAGAGTAGGACAACTGCATTGTCATACAGCTCTAGATTAGATAGTCTCACTTATCTTGATTGGAGGCTGATGATACCCTTTCCCACAGCCAGATCCTGTGTTCCTATTATGGATGCTTAGAAATTAGCATTGAGTTCTTTCATGATATTTGGGCATCTACCACAATTATGATCATATTTGCACTTGTACTTTCAATTTTTTTGACCTAAACCATGTTTTTATTATTTTAATAATTTAAACTTGGTAGCTAAAACTTTCTTTGCCATCTGCCATCAGCTTCACCACATTGTCAAAGCATAATGCAGTTGTTTTTATTGCAAATCCCCACTGTGACAAAGTCCTTGTTATAGTTTCAGACTTCCCTCTTCTGGCTGATGAAAAGTTTGATTTTGATCTTTCACTCTCTCCAGCAAGGTAAGAGAAGGGTCTACAGGTAAATATACCTTTAAAATGGACACATATAAGGTGCTGGGCTGACTTATTTTTCTTTGTAGTGGAAATGAAGATGAAGTCTTTGTCGGACCTTTGGGACACAAAGAAAAATGTATTGCTGTCAATATTGAAGCAAAAAAAAGTGCTGAAGAAAAGAGTGCACCTGCTTCTGATGATAAACTCATGTGGAGCCCACTTACAGGAGAGAAATTTGTGGAGATTTTCAAAGAAGCTCATTTGTTAGCACTGCAGATAGAGACTGGAAGCAAGCATGAACAGACTAAAATAAGCCAATCGGAAGAACGGGAAAACAAAATTATAGAAAAATTTGTGGAGGACTCAAAGTCAAAATTGAAAATACTGAGAAACCAAAACATAGAGAGAAGTCCCAGGGCTGTTAAAAGGGAGACATACTGTGTGTGGGATAGCCCAGCATGTCAGTTGCCACCTTGTTTTCAGAAGGAATCAGATAAACTTTTGTCAGATGACAAAACTCATGCTCTTCATACTCCTCCAAACAGAAGTCCTGTTAAAATTCATGTATCTCCTACAAAAATTGCCAGTTCACTTCTGACACAAGAACCAAAAAATAAGGAAAGAAATATGAAGGCACCTGGCAAACTGCCAATGGCAAAACCTTCATCTACTCTTGGAAAAAGCGATTTGTTGACTATTGAAAAGGTAAAGACAGCTTCTGGGCAATAATGTTTTCTTTAAACATGGCCTTTGTGTGTTTTAGGAATGTTCAAACTGTCTACAAGCTTTTATTTTTAAAAGTGAACTTTAA